TTCTCCTTCTCCTTCTCCTTCTCCTTCTCCTTCTCCTTCTCCTTCTCCTTCTCCTTCTCCTTCTCCTTCTGGATAAACTTTGTTTGTCCTCTCAACATAACTTAAATTAGTTCTCCTACTTTTAACTATTAACACAATAATATTAAAAGAGTACTGATTAAATTGCTAGAGAAAACTGTTGCTAAAATGTGATGATTTGAAAAGAATATTCATATAAAATATATTGCAAATTTTGGTTGCTGTTTTTCTTCTTGCATTTTATAGGACGTTATCTAAGAATAGTTGATAAATCCTTGTTGTTGCACTGAATTTGCCAACTTCTCTTCATGAATTTTAAATGGAATTTTGCCAAGACCGATATTTGGTTGGATTTTGTCCATGTTGTTTAACTGATGTTTTGTTTTTGCTTTTTGTAATGTATTTTAATACTACTATCTGGAAAAAGACACTTATTCAGGAAAATAATGAACAGCTTATAAAGGTAGGATAGACCTTAAACATTATTTGCTGTTTGATTTCTCAGTGACTTCTGATACCATTGACTGTGATATCCTGCCCAATAGTTAGTGGCATTGTGTTATAGTGGTTCCACTCCTGTTTGCAAGGATAGTTTCAGAGGGTAATATTGGGTACTGTGGCAACTGTTTTGTGTGAGGTTTTCAGTAGTATTTAAAATCTATATGAAGTCACCAGCGGTGATCATAAGGAGTTCAGGAGCCAGGTGTCTTAAGTAGGTTGCTGATACTCAGCTATACTTTTTTCAAAACTCCTGGATCAAGAGAGGCTGCACATGTCTTGACCCAGTGTCTAAATGTAGTAATGGGATGAATAAAGATCAGTAAACTGAAAATGAATCCTGACAAGGCAAAGACCTTGTGGACAGGTGGTTATCTGGGTATGGGAGATGGAGATGGGTAGGTTGCATATTCTAAATACTGTTGCATTCTCTCAGAAATAATAGTTACATATTTTGAGGGGGCTTCCAGAATCATAATTGCCACTGGAAGCCTAAGTGATCTCAATGGCCAGGAGTACATATTATCATTATCCCCTTCCCTGGACAGGGACAACTACAGTTGTCCATGCACTGTTAGCTCACACTAGATTACCATAATGGCTTCTATGTGGAGCTACTTTTCTACTTGGTATAAAAGGTGCAAATGAGGCAGAGTGTGGTGCCTAGGTTGCCAATTGGACATTTAACAATGCAGAAGCCACACCTCCATTGAAACAACTGCACTAGCTAAATGGCTGTGAAGCCAAGTTCAGTTTTGCTTATGATATATGTTGTTAAACTCTTATGCCCTAAACACCTGAACAGGCCATATGACTGACTCTCTTCTCCATTGCAGTCTGGTTAATTACTGAGGTCATTAGGGAAATGTGCCAAGAGATGCATAGTGCCACCTGGTACTTTTCCATAGTAGCACCTGGATTCTGGAATGCTTTTCCCTCTGAATTGCTGAGGTGTCTGTTATACCTTTTAGATGCCTGTTGAAAACCTGTACTATCACCCAAGCCTTTCCTGTATGGCTGCTGGGTGAGTGAGTCTGTGGTTCTATTTTCTTTTTCCTCAACTTTATAATCATTATGGTTTATATTGTTTTATAAATATTGTATTTTATATCCTCTAAATTGCATAGGGATGTATTTGTATGGGAAGCAGTATAAAAATAAGTGCAATAAAAATGAAAAACACTTCAAGGTCATAAAAATCTAAAAAGATTACAAATAATGTTCTTGATTATGTGACTTTTAAAATTTGGGAAAGAAGGGTAGTGTCCAGTTCATTATGTCCATGGAAAGGTTTCTGTTATCAGAAAGGGAAGAAGGGTAATTCTTCCTTACATTATAAACTGACATATGCTTTGAAAATGAGAAGTGGAGAGTTTAGAGACTCCGATGAACAGAATTGTTTGAGCTGCAGGAAAATGTTTCATTGTGTCCATATGATGTTGAAATGCTTGCTTCTTTTCAGCTTAGAAGATAAAACGTTATCAAACTATTTTTGCTAAAGGAATTTTGAGGCTGATACCATAAACATCTTACCATTCAAATAACTTATTAATGCCATTTTATTGAAAGGGGAATCTTGTTACTGTATTTAGAACTTCATTATTCTTGGATATGTTTATTTCATTAAAAAAAAAACAAGCTATACGTAGATGGCTTATGTTTGCAGTTTTAATAGTTGTATTATAATTTTTTTTTCTTCCATGTATATTGCCTAATAAAATTTTGCTCAAATGTAAAATTTAATTTGCTGTGAAGATTTTGCAAACAAAACAGAATTTGGTCATTTTTATCTAAATATTTCCAGTTAGAAAACACTATTTTCATCTCAAAGCCTCCTTTGCACACCTGGGTGTTCTTCCTATTGTTAGGGGAAAAAAAGATAACTCACCATGCCCCCTAATTATTGCATTCTCCTCCCAAGCATAAAAGATAAAAATGATTTAATCTTCAATCTGATTTCTCTTGAGCGGTCTGGACTCAATATGAGATTTATGTATTAGAGTACTTTCTTTAATAAAAAAGAGTGTGACAAAGAAGTTGAGAGAGAATTATTAAGTTACTTTTTCTTAGAAACATACAGTAGTGTGTAAAGGAAACCATACACACCTATGAGAGTTGAAAGAAGAAGGACTTCTAAAAGGTCTCTTGAAGAGGTTCCTAAGGCACTTACACTATTGTTTGAGAAAAAAAAAATGTTACATGACTCTTTATTAGACTCTTTTCAACACATATCAGCTGTCTCCTGAGCAAAACTTAATTAAGTGCTCCTTGCTGAGATACTATTAAGCTGTGTGGCATTGTGTATACTTTCAGTAATTTAAAGTTTGGTTAGCTTTAGATTTTTTTTTTCAAAAATAGCTCATTAAAAAAATTGTGCACATTAAGTTGGCATCTTTGAGAAAGAGATGTTTAAAATTTGAATATTACTTTCTCATAGTTCAGATTAAATTTTAAAACAATGGGTTTGAGGCATCAATTCTCAGCTTCAGTTACCTATTTGTCATACTGACCTAGATGTGAATTTTCTGTTTGTCTTTTACTGTAGGAAAATGTATGTTTTTTGTTTTTTTTTTTGCTAATAAGGGACCCAATCCATTTCTTCTTCCAAATCCCAGTTCCCCTCCACTGGCTATATATTCTGCTAGGTATGTTGCTATGTGCCTGGACTTTTATACAAATGAATGGTTTTATGAGCTTTACATAAAACTGAACTGAGGGAAGGCATATAGGCATGGATTTGTGAATTTATTTTAAATATGCCTATTTAGAAATATTATTAAAATGCCAAGAGTCTCTTTTTATATTGCAGTAAGTTTACCAGGTGTCAGTCATTAGGATAAAAAAAAAATTGGCTACAGATTTGGAATCCTAGTATAATCAGGGTTTATAATGTTTTCATAATATTAGATCAGTCTCATATCAGGACAGGTTTAAACAAATTACTGTATTTTGATTTGTGTTTCTTACTTTTTGCACCTTAAGTTTCTCCCACCCAATTTCAGCAAAAGTTTGCAAATTTAAAAAAATTGAATATTCAGATGCACTTTTATGCATACTTTTCTAATAGATGCATTTCTATAGTCACATTTTTCTCAGTTTTCTTTAATGTTTTTGTGAGTCTCTTCTCACAAATACACATTTTTTTAAAAAAACTTACCCCAATGTATACATTTGAATGCACTTTTGCATAATACAAAAATTTTAGTTCATATTTTACTGCAGGTATGCTTGAAAACTAGCTTTAGAAGCAAAATGCAATGGCAAATATATATCTATTTGTTTAAATGAGAATGTAATTTTCCTTTTATGTGTATAGATTTTACATGTACAGAATTTAGATTACAATTCATATAGCCTATCCTGTAAGTGGTAATAATTAAATATAAATTTTGGTATTGAAATTCTATCACACATGAAGCTAGGGTGTGCTACAGCTTTAGGATTTCTGGTTAATTTCATTTTTATAGTCAGATAGCAGAGTATATTGCTGGAAATAATAATAACAAAATATTGTTGCTGGAAAAATGAAATACTTGCCTTTCCTTCCATATTCACCAACATCTAGTCAGTGATTTAACTGAAGTATTTAAAAATGTCCTCCATCTTTAGTACAATAGTTTTGTTAATCTACTATTAAGGAATGGCATGATTTTATAACACGTTGTGGATTTAACATTCTTGCTAGCTTCATGTTGTTTTCTAAAGTAGTTGTGGTAGTAATTTTCACCATTATTTATTTCTCTTCCCCATAGAACGGTCAAACTAGACAAATATAAAATATATGTTTGCATTTCCTATAATTTGATTGTTTTGTATTAAAGAGTTGATATTGGTGACAGTATATCCAATATTGATATTAATGACAGCAACAACTTACTTTCAAATCAATCTTAGCATTAAGAAAATTGAATTTTATGGATCTCAGTTATATGGATACTACACCATAGTATCACAGATGCTTTATTTCAGATGTTTTAAATTATAATGTGGTTTATTTATAACAGTGAAGGATTCTAAATGATTGGATAGTTTACATTTCTTCCCATAAAGAAAGGCATGCCCAGTGAGATTATGGGAATATTTTCTTTGAATATAAAGCCCATATTACATAAGAAACTGCTTTTTGAAGTCCCTGAGCTTCAAAACTGATTTACCATGTGGCATGGCAGCTGCTATTCAAGAAACACATGCTCAAAGCTCTCTAGTGTATGTGGAACTAATTGTACTGCTTTTTGGATCCCAGCCCATACTTTCACTCTGTTGGACTGACTTTATGGAACATGGTTTGTGAGTGCTTTACTAGAGATCCTTTTCAGTGAGGTTATATAATCTCATTTTGGGTCTTTCCATCATTTATAGCAATAACTATATGCTACAGAATATTCTGAATTTTTTACAGAGGTTGAAAATATTTTTCATGCAATAAAGAACTATTATAGACATAACTACCTACTTAGAATTACTAGTAGGAAAATAATACAGTTTTTCATTTTGAGAGGAACTCAATCTGGATATCTCAGAATGGTTGTCTGCTCAGTTTAGTCTGTTTTTTCTTTTTCTTTTTTCTTTTGCCTTCTAAAACACATTTAATATTAATAGGTTTCAGTAGTTCTAAAAAGCACTGAAAAACAGACCAGTATTTTAAAAGCTTAAATACTATGATAATGATTTACATCTATGTTGTTTCTCCTAGCACTCTAACATTTTTTATGATTCTGTCACTTTCAATCAGCAAAGAGTACATATGATTAGTATATTTGATAAACTTGTCAAGGCCTGTTTAAAGCAGAATCTCCCAGTCTGTTCTATTTGTCCCCCACTCTCTTTCATCATTTCAAGTATAATCTTGATAAGACAGAGATATGTCATGGGCAGCTGTGTATAGCAAGCTCAGACTACAACTAATTTGTGAAGGAAAAAATTAAATCAGGAGGTAAATTATTTCATGATTGCTCATTCCCAACAGACCTGGGCATCATTCTGAAGAAAATATCAAATAATTGGTTTCAGACCATGTCACACACATGCAATTCCCTTCGCTAATGGCTGTGTGAGGTAGCACTAGGCCTCAGGGGTCATGAAAGAACTGAAAATAGCTTACTGCCAGGCACAGCAATAGAGAGACAGTGCACGTAGGAAATGAAGTGGCAATAAGTGCAATCCATAGGGGAAATGTGCTTCACTTGAAGTTTAATATATTGGTTTGGAATCTGGCAATAAGCCATGCAACAATTGTTTACCTTTTTGTCAGCATCTGCATCTGTTCTGTTTGGTAAATAGCACTTAAATCACTGCCCATAAATACTGAGATCAATAACTATTAGAGGGTCTACTTTCTTTTTCATATTTTATAACAAATGCAATCTGCAAACAATGTTTGTGTTAGATTAACAAAGTCAGAGGGATTTGCTTGAGAACACTTTGTAATTTTACAGGTGTACTGTACAATCACTCTGCAATCTGAATGAAACCCAGTTGCCATTTAAAAACCAATATATTATAAAAATGGTAGCTTCTAAATTCTAGTGATTAATAATGATGTGAAATTTTAAATCACTATATTAAGTCATATATGGAAGACTGCTACCATTGTTTCTAGCAGTTTAGCTTGAAATAGTACTACAGCAACCATTCCAAAATATTAATTTGCCTAAGCTAAGAGTATTAGGCAACAATATATAGGTTGTTAAACCTAGTTAAGTCATTTGTTGTATAACAAAATAAAAAAATTTAATTCTGTAGCTACTATTTCATTAACAATATTTTTATCTTAACATGGATGATAGGTGAACGTGATTAGTATGTATAAAATGAATACAATATTTCATAAAAATATTGGATATGAGTACATGCAAATAATAAGTGACAAATGCAAGACACAAGTTATAGCATCACTATAAAGTTAATGGAGATTTTAGAAATTGAATTTATATTTATAGATTTTAGAAACTGAAATTTATATTTACTGGGAGTCATATTTATAAATCCTGATATATTTTACCATTTTACCTATTAATTTTAGCTCCATTTAATTGTTCATAATTTTATTTTTTGTCAATGTTAACTATATACTTTGAATATTTATGTGTGATATATGGATGATCTTTGGATGGAATCCAAATAAGGGTTAGACAACTGCATATGCAATTTGATTTCCCCCTCACCTATTTTCTTTATGGCAATTCTTATTTTGAAAATCAAGTTACTTTTTAAATTGCAAAATGAGTCTTTTTGATAATTGTATATAAGAATTTTCTTTTCACCTTTCTCTACATTAGAGAAGACTGTCTTCCAAATAATCTTAATCAATTGAGAGCTGTTCCATAACTGAAACTCTTTATTTGAACACTGAAAATGTTTTCAACAATAAAAAATATGAAATGTAAAACACAACAAAAGTAATAAAATTCAATTGAAAAACAAAAATTAAATTCAGTTATTATAATGATCAGTTAAAAGATCTTCCAGGTCAGGAAAGAGATTTCTCAATAAAGATCTTAGAATTGCCTCCTTTAAGCATTCAGGGGCACAACCTGAACTCAAGGGAGCACTGATCACCTCCCTTAGTTATGGGGACAATCTCAACCTAGCCAATTTAATAGTTTAGGGAGGATAAAGGTTGAGAAAGCAAGTGGTGGCCTTCATCTCTAGGCACACTGTCCACATTCTGAGATGTATAAACTGAAAAGAATCCATATGAATCGGGCAATACATCAAGGTTACTTCACTGTGACCTTTCCCAGGAGTAGAGTCCAAATCAAGGCAAATCTGGTCAATTTAGTCTACAAAGAATTATGCAAATTGCTTACAGCGAGTCTCCAGCTCTTCCAGCTTTCCTTCCCCAGTAGCTTGATGGAGGAGTTACTACACAGTACAGAAAATCATTGCTGGCCTGTTCTTTGCATGCACAATGGAGACCGGGGAATAAGAAAAGGATGATCTTAAAAGAGGATCCCACTCTTATGTTTAGTCCAGTTTCTCACAAGAGTTCCTCCATTTGCACTCAGCTTTCTACTTCTATCTGCTTCATTCACTCAGCTCCCCAATAAACTGAGGTGCTCAGTGTGCTCTACTAGAGGGAAGAGGGTGTTTAGAATCAATAGTGTCAATGGCTCAGGTATATCCTCCTTTCATTACAATGGCCAAGTTACAGCTTCTCACTATATTCTCCCCTGCCAATTACTGCTCTAATGTTTGTTCCTAGGCCAAATTCTATTCCCCAATCTCCCAATTTCTCCCTAACACATCCCACAATACTAGGCAACAATTAATAAAGCTATTAAAAATAAGTGTTATTTCCTCTGTTATGAGTCCCAAATTTTCTTCCAATATTTATTCATGGGGATAAACAGTTTTATAATCCAATAAAGATTTCCCAAAGGATCACTCCTTCACTAGTGATTGTATTACCCCACAGTGGTGTCTGTTTTAGCCCTGGAGCAGGCTGATGAAATCTCATTGCAGAAAGACTCCATCTGGAAAGTTCTTCAGCAACCTTGCCCTGCAAAGAGATCTGAAAACAGGTATTATATTCAGCAGCTTCTTTCTCAATGTGTCCTCGAGTTGGGCTGGCAGAAGGTAGTAGCACTTTTTAGCCCAGGGAGCAGGATATGAGTTCCATCTAATTGGGACTGAGACAATCCCTGACTATTCCCTACAAAATGGACCAATAATGAGGAAGCTTCTTCAGAAGGAGCAGTGTAAATGTATAGGGAGCCATGGAGTTGACCTTGGAGAACCCATCCAGAAGCTAACAAAAACAGGGTCCAAAATGACTTGCTAGTCTGGAAGATACCTACTCCTATTCAGTAAGGCACTGATGAAGTTGTCAAGCAAATGTGATGAACAAAGGCAATCCAATCTAGTGATGGTGCCTTCATATACCTTTGGCTAATGGCTTTACTAGATTCTGAGGCTGATACTATATTGTATATATGCTAATATACTGATTGGTATGACAACCAATTTCCAATTATATTTGTGAAAGTGTGTGGGGGTAGGGAAGCGATGGTGGTGCCACTGCAGGTGCACTTGGCAATAGAGAGGATCCCGCAGCGTGGGCAAGTGTTGGTAACTCAGGTGTGGATTTGTTGAAGGAAAGAAAGTTTTAGATTTTTCTTGTCCACTTTTGTTTGAGCATTTGCAAGGTAGTGCTGGGCAGAATGAAGTGAGCCAGTTGAGGAACTAACTGAAGCAGAGCGAGCTGTTGGTGGAAGAATTCAGGAGAGATGAAGCAAGGCTAGTAGAGATAAACAGTTGCAGAAAGGACTCATATGTTGAGGATAAAACATGAAAAAGTATATGGGGAAAACAAGTCAAATCTGAGTTAAAAGATAAAAGAAGTGAAATAGGAATCTCTGAAAGCAGATGAGAATGGGGCATTGAAATGGAAGTTCAGAGAGGCCTGTGGAGTCAAACACAGAATATATCAGTACACAAGCCAAGACAAGATATGAAATCTCTGTATTCCCATCTGAAGTCCAAGCATATGGCCAAATACAACTTAAACCACTTCTGTTAGCAAAACATTATCTCAGCTGCCGTAGTTGCAAACATTAGAGATGCTTCTTTGAAAGTCATCAATTGCTGAATTGGATTTAACACAACTGCAGTTTTAAAAGTGGAATTTGTTGCCAATCACAAATGGTAACTTGATGTAAATTTTATGGACTGTTAATAAATGTTTTACCAGAGACCGGAATCTGTGGTCTTTTAGATGCTGCTGAATGTGACTCTAGACATCCTCCATCATTGTCCATGTTGGTGGGGACAGTTATGAATTTTAGTTAAATAGCATCTTGAAGGCCTTACCTATCTTTCAATAATTGTTAACTGGTTCTTCTATTTTTTCAGTCCAGTCTGGGAGAGCAGGAGGACGGCTCTTTTGCTTGAAGAAATATCTGAAGTTCTTTGGCCTTGTCTCATATAAAATGGATGGAATTCTTTCTAAAGAATCTACAGATATTTCCATGATTCAAAGAGAAGTGTATATGACATGTAGCTTCCATTTTTTAACATTATCTCCATTTTTCTGCAGCCTCTTGTTTTCTGAAGTGAGGATCGAAGAGGGAATTGAAACTAGATAAAAATGTCCTCTTTTCTGTCTCCAGCAGGGGCTTTTGTTGAATCTTAGTTCTTCTCTAAACCAAAGGAACCCTTTGATTTACAAACTGGATCTAACTTGCTGTTTCTCTCTTTGCTAAAACACATTAACTCTATTATCCAAATAACATGCCAATAGCTTTAGACAATAATATGCCTATCTGACATAAACTTACAATGAAAGGAAATACTTTTGCTTACAGTAAGACAACATTTTATAAATATATATTTACTAAAGCACTGATTTCCCTACTGAATAACCAAGTATAATACTGACTTGAATAATGTTCACTTCTGGAAAATTGCTTTTTGTTTTTGAACAAAAGAAAAACTACCTCTAGTAAATTCTTCATTGTCCTCTTACATTAATTAATGCCTATTTATTGGTGATATTAAACATGATCAGATTCACTAGTACATAAAAATAAATGTTTATAATTGGAAGTCAGAATATGTCCTAATAAGAGCAATAAAGTATAATGAAAAATTCAGTACTGTTACAAATTACATATTTTCTATCAGGAATCAAACTCATATGCTCTTGTGCTGTATACAGTGCACTTAGCTTTATGAGCCACAGTGGCTTTTTAGGTTGGTAGGAAGGGGAATATATGGTCTATGGGTTCAGTTCCAGGTAGGGATTTGAACCACATAACTTTTAATTAGCTATTGTTATGTGTGCCTGATAAGTCCCAATAAATATGAAACCAGTAGCACACTGCCTCTTGGTGGTTAATGAATGTGTAACAACCACAGGAATATGTATTGAAATAGTTCCATCCTGGGAGATGGGAGTGGAATCATGAAACCTCCAGTTTGAGACATGACATAATAACAGCTTTATCTCTCTAGTGTGAGAGCTGATATAAAGGAAGATACTGTATTTACTATACATAGATGTTCAATACTGAGATAATGTCATTGACAGCTTACAAGTAACCAAGATATAGAACTGCAATTACAAGGAGTCAGACCAGAGTAAAAAAGAGGGCTGAAACAGTCAAGTCATAGGATCAAGGCAGAATCAAGAAACAGATTCATATAAATGTAGCAGAAGGAGAATCAATCTATATACAGTATCATTTTCAAAGAGGCAGGAAATAGGTAGTAATTTGGATAAAGATAAGATCAAAAAATAAATATGCAGAGATTCCAGACAAGAAGTTGACATTACCACACTGACATAAGGAGAAAAGTATTTCTTTCCTTTCCTACTTTAAATTTTTGTTTTGCAAGGCATCACAAAAATAAAGGTTTCTGTTTGAAGTCTTCATTTTAAATTTAACCAGATATCTTCAACATACTGTTACTCTTGTAGATAATCTCTAGGTAAATGTTTAGATATTAAAAAGTATTGTGAATGAGCTATATCCTTGTTGGATTTTATTGTCAACCTGAGAAATAGCTCTAATTTTTAGACATTCCTACATGAGAAACTTGAACATTTTTCACAAATGTCAGAAAAGCTTTTTGTTTTATTCATATGTACATGAAACATGCATATATTCTGTCTGTAATTTTTAGTAATATCAATAAAATTAATTGTAACATATACCACATATAGTGCTATTATAAATGTGACACCTGAATCTGATTATCTTTCTCCTTATTTATAGGTGCTGAGGAATATTCCAGAAAAGGAATGAACCAGTGTTTAACATTACATCAACTGAGGTGCCTTTCCCAGCTTATAAAGTCATTTTTGTTGATGGAAGAAAATATTGAAGAACTATCTTCTGGACTGCTATTAACATGTTTTTCTGAGAACAAAAATATTCAAGGTAATCTATGGCTATGTTTACCATATATTGTTTTCTTCAGAATAATTGATTGGTAGAATTTCAGTAGATATAATAAGGGAAACAGAACAATAACTTACTCTTATCAGCCTTTTAATGTCAACTTATTTCTGATACAGTCTTTTGAAATATTTTGTTCTTGATAGTTAGTTTTCCTTTGTAATTGCTAGAATTATACTGCCAGAAACATTGGTATGAGATAGACGGTCATATAAATTGTTTAAATAAATAAATAGTCATGTGATACACTATGAAAAATTACCTGATATGGACTTCCGGAGGAAAAAATGGCAGAGTGAAGACGGTTCTGCAAAAAATGGAGCTGACGACTGCGGTGAAGAACTAAGAGCCAGTGAGTAGACTGGCTCTTCGGAACCTCTCCGGGCAAGGATGGGAGATTGCCCACATGTGCTCCAAATAGTTGCTGCTCACAAGGAGACTACAAGACAGTGGTCCCCAGTGGGTTTTGAGTACTGAGAGACAACGGGAATAGCCATTACTCACAACCGCAGGCAGCACCTTTTAAAGGACACTAAGTTTGCAGACTTCCTTTTCTAATCACATTTGGAGATTGCAACTACTTTTAAGCTATTAGAGACCTTTGGATCGAGAAGTCTGAAAACGCCAGGTGAGTTTGCCTTCAATCCTTAATGAAAGAAAATTTTAATCATAAGCTTAGGAATTTAAACAAATTGAAATAAACAGCAAAAAGCTAAAGAAGACTTTGATCCTAGAAAGTTATAGATGGATTAAGAGTCCAGATAAATTTGGAATAAGATTTTTTAATTAATTATAAAGAATCCTTCCCGTGGGAAATAGATTTGTTTGGACTTTTTGCAAGACACAATAAAGATAAGCAATTTAAAAAATTGGACACTAGAGGGAATTAAAGATTTTAATTAAAAGAGAAAAATACACAAGCCTGATTGACAGCTAACTAACTGGGACTTATGAAATGATACAATACATTATAACATTGAAAATACTGAAAGACACTTTTGAAAAATGGATTCAGAAGTTAGTATCAACAATGTCAATAGTGATGTTTGCTTCTATGGATAGTCCAAAAGTTGTTATGGAAGAAATGGCAGATAAGGAACAAGTTTTATTTGACAAAACAGAGATGGCATCGAAAGTGGATCTACAAATGACAGGCTACAAGAATGTCATGGAAAAGGATATCTCACTGGACATACAAAAGAAACCGGTTGATGTTTTAAAAATCAATACAAATAATAAACCAAGAAAGTGACCTGGATATTTTTTTTTATATTGAATTTACAAAAGAGGCTTGTTAAAGCTTTGAAGAGTCTTGTGAGAAGGGGCAAAGAAGAAATGAAAAAAAAATCAAATTCTACAACATTATTTGAACTGACTAAAGATTAAGACTGTTAGAAGTAAAAGGAAGGAATATAAAGTTCATTTATTTGATCAAAGTTAAAATAAGATATGTTGTTATTTCTGGTAACCCTTAATGGACTTTCTGCTGACACCAGGACTGAAAAGGCGATGCTTTATGGATTTGTCGATAGATAAGAGATGGGACATAGGATGAAGAGGTCATTGGTTGTAAACTAAGAGGGGGTGAAGAGTTACAAAAATTGTTTATACTTGTTGTGATGAAGGTTGGAAGTCACTTCTTTATATATTTCTTTTCTCTTTCTTTACTATATGCTTACTTTTTTTCTTTTTTTCTAAGAGATGGGACATAGGATGAAGAGGTCATTGGTTGTAAACTAAGAGGGGGTGAAGAGTTACAAAAATTGTTTATACTTGTTGTGATGAAGGTTGGAAGTCACTTCTTTATATATTTCTTTTCTCTTTCTTTACTATATGCTTACTTTTTTTCTTTTTTTCTTTCTATTTTCTACATTTTTTTCCTTTGCACCTTTTTTTCTTTCTATTATCCTTTCTTTCTTTTAGTTTGTATTAGTTTTTACTGTTGCAATTATTATCTATCTATCTATCATCTATCTATCTATCTATCTATCTATCTATCTATCTA